TATTTTTTTCGAAAGAACTTCCTTCTTTTAGGTTGGTTTGGCTGTAGATGATATCAAATCCGTACTGGAGGAGGCCAAGCTAAAGAGGCTGAGCATGCAGGTGCGAATGTTGCAACTCTAAGGGGGAGTGCTGACAATATTGCCTCAAGGAAGAGCTTGAAATACGGTCCCTTTGACCCGTCATCTAAAAGTGTTTTGAAGGGTAACGGTAAAAGTCCACCTTCCATCAGTCCCTTTGAAGGTCCCCTGTATTGACTTCAGCTAAAGCCATAGTTCAAGATAATTTTGAGGTGCCACCATTTTAGTCTAGAAGCGGAGTATAGGCCAGGAATAGTTCATCGGTAATGAAAAAAGCAAGTAAATTCGCCGAATTCGAAAAAAAAAGACTCCTCAAAAGGTGAAAATAGTGCTTGGACGAGATTTCCTTGACGAAAATAAAATGGAAGAGGTATTCGGACGAGATTTCAGTTGTTGCAGTTGCGCAAAGAACCTACTACATAAAGCCAGAACTGAACAGAACTGCCTTCTACTGGGGCTATAGGTCATGACAAGTTGCTTGAACTTCCTACATGGGTTCCCTCGTGTTGGTGCAGCCTCTGTAGTATCGGTGTCCTCTTTATCCCAGGAGGATGACCCATAAACCATTTTTATCTTAAACTATGCCTTTAAAAATCACAGTGTCGTTTTGAATGCATCTGCGGGCTAACAATCACTTGCGATGGCCAGCCGATGTACCAATCAGTGTTTTTATCCTCCCAGACAAGTCTGGTACCAATTAACCGAGTTCGAAGAATGGAAGGCTTGGTTGACCTGAATGGATATCGACCCAGGATTCGAATCCGTGAATATGCATGTGTTGATTGTGCGCCACTGGCCACTACACCACCTCCGCCCAAAAAATATTACACTACTCCTAATAATTGTTAATGGGGTTTGTTCTGAAGAACCGTCGGGTTCCTTCGGCAAATGCACATATCGACTCATTTTTTCAGCAGCTCTCTGACACTTACTCACATTTTCGAATGTGAACAAGTATTCAGTAATTTAGGCTGATCTCGTACTGCAAGTGGAAGCATCGATGCCTTATATTCGCAAATTGACCTCCAGGTCATCCGTACGAGTGTACCCCAACCAAACCGATTTCCTCAAACGCCTGAGAAACAGATTTGGTTTTGATTCGTCTACCGTCGGAGTGTTGGAGGAGGAATGGGAAAGTAAGGAGGTATGCTGCTTGCTTTTTGTCTTCTAGAGGAGTCTAGTCTCCCAAGTGAAACTATCATTTCAGGAGGAGCTCTTCCACGAATTTCGTCAAGTGGTCAAAGACCAGAATCATCAGCTTCATAAGTTACAAAGAAATGTTGATGTGATGTATTCGGAACAAGTGAAAACAGCAGCTATGCTTCGAGCCGTCATGGAACGTCTTGAAGTCAACTTTCAGGAGACCGTCAAAGATTAGCCAATTTACAGTTGCCTTCGAACTCTATGTGATTGCAATGCATTTGCTCGCCTTATTGTATTGTATTGTATACAACGTGGATGGGCTCTACAGACGTGCATTAGTTTCACCGATCGACCGACCGACCGACCAACGGAGTTCCTGGCCACGTGGTGACAACGCAGGATACGTTGCATTCAGGGCCGCGTGAGTCGTGAGGACGCGTGATCCATCGGTGTCCACGTGTTCGGTTGGTCGGTGGAAACGATGGACGTCGGTGGAGTGAAAATGCATATAGTTGAGTTGCGCACCCTCACATCACAAGATCACGGCCGCCCATCCACAATCCTGCTCAAACAGAACATACAAACTTTCGTACCTCGTAACATAGTATGCATAGAAAACACTTCATCACTCAAAACTTCAGACTGAGGTTCATAGAAACCAGCATCTGGAACTCACGCATCCAGAGATAAGGCTTATGAAAATGTAGCTGTAGGGGACACCTCTCTTCTTCAATCCTAAGCATAGAGAAGGAGAGGTATTCAGCTCAACAGGCCTCTAATGACGCTTTCTAACAATAAGCAGGAATAGTATGCTGGCAGGCTACCGGTCAAACTTTTGGGATGAATCGAATAAGGAATCACGAATTGAATTGAAGTCGATGTTCAATTCTCCTCCATACCAGCTTTTGCACAAGGTGGTCGTCTCACTCACCAAGGTGCTCCTCCCCTTGAGGCCTACTCAAAAGCTTATGTTCTTCCTCTGAAAAACGTTCCCAAGCACCACCACAGGCACGCGAGTCGACTGCCTTACGTTCTTTTCGCTCTGACGTCTAGTTTTAAAAATTTAAAGCGGAGGAGAGGAAAGGGCCCTTCCCCCAACTACATTTTTATACCAAGAGCGTCGAGGTACGTAGCTAACGAGAACATTCACATTAAAAATTTCGGGCTTAGGATTGCCCAGTAGAAATTATGCATTGGATGGGAAAGGATGGGAATCGGTCAGGGAAAAGTGTCACGTATTTAAACAAGATGACTTTCTACGCATTTGAACGCTCTAAGGCCGCTTTGCGTGTGTCCCTCCATTTATTCCATAGTAGCTCCCTCACAGCGCCTACGTGAAGAAAAACGACATAGCTACAGGCAAACAGACACCCAAGGTTAGTGGTTTATGTAAATAGAGAATTTTGATGTGCCGATTCCTTAATAAAGATAATAAGATTAAGACAAAAAAGCTACTATAAACGTTGGTAATAAAAGCTTGCTTATCATTCACTGTGTTGTTATTATTGTAATATCAGGATTATCTGTTTTTTACTTTTACACCGGCTGGGTTGGCTGCTTCTCCTACATGATTGCTTCAGCTCAAACGCACACGATTAAATTGTCTTATGAGAAGTCCCGTTAGGATGAAACTTTGGCCTCCTTGTATACCATATGTGTTGCTGTCAGGTAGGAGAACGGCTTAAATAGGCGTTACAAAGGCTCAAAGATTGTCCCTTGTGTAAGCGCCGACGAGTTCCAACGGCATTGTAGAGGCTGCACCGTTCACAAGGGGGAAGTTCAAACATTTGGTCATGACCTAGAGTGACAATGAAAGGCAATTCTGGACGGTTCGAGTTTGATGTAATCGGCTCTTTCTCAATTGCAACAACCGAAGTCTCGTCCAAATACCCCTTCCATGTCATTTTCGTCATGTTATCTTGTACGACCTCTATTTTCACTATTTTTGAGGAGCCTTATTTTTTCACAAAATCATCTACAGGGTGCGCCATAAATATGGTAACAAAAATATTGGTCTCTATAAACCGTAGTTCATATGGATACATGCTCAATTTTTGTGAGTTAGTTACTGTGCATCACGTCTACAAAATGAACACACCGTCATCTTATATAACCGTTTCCTGTGGTAATTATAGCTCAAAGATGCTGAGGCTACTCATCAACGGTGGCACGCAGAGTTTCTTGAAAAATTCCAGCCCGGGCTCTTTTCAGTGATTTCCTAGGAGCAGCAACGGTGGTGCGTTCTGAAGCGCAGGCTTTCCTCTCCAGCACGGACTATATCCAGCGACCCATCACGTTGTGGTTCGGGAAATTCATAGGAGGATTGCAAGCTGA